TTTTATAAAGCTCTGACTTGTATTATGAGTCTGTGGTCTGGGAGAGAGTCCTGTAACTCTCTGTCTGCAAAATATAGTATATAATGACCAATGCTGGGCAATTAATTATATAGTTACTTCTTTAAAAAAGTAACTCCGTTTGGCAAACAGATTTTTTGCCAAACTGAGTGGAGATTACAAGTTTTTTTGCAGCTATTTTTTTTTAAATACAGCCAAGGCATTTTTAAATAAACATTTCAAACTATTTACAGAACAATCAGCTGATCTGCATCAAATTTGATGCCACACAAATTATTTGTGCCACTCCAAAAAATAATTTCTGTCTATGAGATAAAGGAGAACAACAGCCTGAAACCTGCAGGCCTGACAGCAGGAGATGTATCACTCCTGTAACACCTGTAACATTCAGCAGTCGCCTCATTGTTCTGACACACACAACAAAACTATTGACTACACTACACACTAACTACACAAGATTTGCGCTAAACGTCTCAAATCTCTCACATCTCAAAACACCGCCGTCACTCCTAAAACTTCCCCCCGTTTTTAACACCTAGATGCCTCGTTGCCATATCATTTTTTGATTGGTCGACATGGTAGTTTTTTGGACGAATAGGAAAGGGAGAGGGGGGTGGAGTTTGTTTTTGCTCACAGGTGGAGAGCGCTTTCGAGCCTTTTTTCTTATAAAACGCCGTTTTTACCGTTTATTCCCGCAGTAAATATAAACAACGACAGTATTCAGGAAGAAAACCAAACATTGCATTTTTTTTAATCATAACTCTGGTTTTACGTGGCCTATCAACACAATTTAAAAACTGGTATAAAGTCCACACTTTTTCCGTTAATTGTTCCGTCTGCTCACATCTCCAATGGTTTTACACATTGTCATCAACGTGGCTTCACTCCACATAGGCCACGCCGCTTTGCTAGCTAAAACACCGGTGTCGGCACATAAGGACGCTGTCAAAGCCTGTCAACGACGGTGATTAGCTGCGTATATACGAATGCATCGCATCATTGGCTGGACTATGGGATAAGGTGGCATCGTGACTAACACTGCAAAACAGAATTGTTAAAGTATTAATTTTAATTTCAGTTCAGGTTAGGTTTTTTTGTGCGCAACACAGATTTTCTGTGCGCAGAGACCGTGCCAGCAGTGCGCAATTGCGCACGTTCGCAGCTTAGAGGGAACATTGCACATCACACGTGCATAAATACAGAGTGACAGCATGACAGTGATAGATTTGGTCTGGCGGAGATGGGTTAATGTTTACAGTATAACTCAGGAGACTGTAAATTTCTAATCTTCCCTCACTTAATCTCTCCGAACCTACGGTGCATGAGACTTTCAAGGATTAACCTTTTACACCTGAAGAGATACGATAAGCACTTGCGCAGTTTTCAGAACTTACCTATACATGGTTAGGTCACAAATATTTGGACAGAGACAACTTTTTTCTAATTTTGGTTCTGTATATTAGCACAATGAATTTTAAATGAAACAACTCAGATCCAGTTTAAGTACAGAGCTTTAATTTCATATATGGAACAAAGAGACTGCATAAAAATGTGAGGAACTGAAGTCTTTTTTAGCGCAATCTCTTCATTTCAGGGGCTCAGAAGTAATTGGACAAATTAAATAACTGAAAATAAAATCTTCATTTCTAATACTTGGTTAAAAAACCCTTTGCTGGCAATGACAACCTGAAGTCTTGAACTCACGGACATCACCAGATGCTGGGTTTCCTGTTTTTTAATGCTCTGCAAGGCCTTTACTGTAGCGGCTTTCAGTTGTCATTTGTTTGTCGGCTTTTCTGTCTGAAATTTAGTCTTCAACAAGTGAAATGCATGCTCAATTGGATTAAAACAGTGGTTCCCAAAGTAGGGGGCGTGCCCCTTGGTGCAGAGCCTAGCATAACGGACATAATGGACAGGTTTGGACAGAAGATTTTCTTGTAAAACAAAGGGGGGCCTAGGAAAAAAAGTTTGGGAACCACTGAATTAAGATCAGTTGACTGACTTGGCAATTCAAAAATATTGCACTTCTTGGCTTTAATAAACTCCTAGGTAGTTTTGGCTGTATGTTTTGGGTCATTAGCCATCTGTAGTATGAAATGCACTTACAAAATCAATTTGACTCTAGGCGGGCAGTATGTCTTGAAACACCTCAGAATACATTTAGCTGCTTCTGTCCCGTGTAACATCATCAATAAACACTAGTGTCCCAGTGCCAGTGGCAGCTTTGCACGTCCAAGGCATCACACTGCCTCTGCCTTTTTTTTACCGATGATATGGAGTGCTTTGGATCATAAGCTGTTCCACGTCTTCTCCATACTTTTTTTCTTGCCATCACTCTGGTGAAGGTTGATCTTGGTATCATTTGTCCAAACAATGTTTTTCCAGAAGTGTGCTGACTTTTTTACTTTTTTTTTTTTTTTAGCAAAGTCCAATCTAGCCTTTATATTTGTAGCATTTCATGTTCCTTTTAAGCCTTAAGAGTATAAAGGAAATGTACACCATTAAGTCCTGCTCTCAAAATCTGACGTATATGTAACACTGTCTGTGAAACTGGATTTAAGTGCTTAAAAT